AATGAAATAAGAATGATTTCGGGTCATTGGATCAATCATATTAATGGTTATGATGAAGTCTACTATGGTCAATCATTAATGACAATCTAGTAATTATTTGATCATAGTACGGTCAAATATACTCATTTAACCACTAATAAAGGACAAAATGGTAATAATATATTCATTCATATATCAGGTGGGCATTTGAAATGAAAAAAAGAGATAAAAGAGTCCCACCACCATCTCTCTCAAACAACTATTTCTCTCTCACCAACACACACGCACCAACTCTTTCTCTCTCACCAACACACACACACAACTCTCACGATCTGAGTAACCGACCTCTGGTGCCACCTCTGTCTGCCGCCAGTCACCGTCCGAGGCTGCGCCTGCGCACTCTCTGCGCACCATATTCTGAGTTGCCAGCAACAGGCCGCCCGACGACGTCGCCACCATCCCCAACAACCATCACCAACCGCCCGTCGCGCAGATCCAGATCTACCGCTGCAGCTCCCCATCTCGGCCGCCGCGCCACCCAACCCATTCTCCGCACCGCAGATCATTATCGGAGATGGGCTACTATACTCCGGCAGAAATAGTCAAACCAACACTTCCGGCACCTGCTTCAATTAAGTCAAGTCTGGAGACTCCATCTCCTCCCGACCACGCACAGTCGCCGTCGTAAAATCAGGAAGGCCTCCGCATTCGAGAACGTTGTCTGAAGTGGCCGTCTCATTTCCGGCCACCCTCTTCATTCGCTGTGAAGTTTGGTTTCTCCGGCTGCATATGGCCGGTCGCCGGAGAGTAGTGCGACCGGTGGTTTGCTGGTGGTGAGCACTGTGACTGTGATGAGTTGTGACTTCTATTTGAGAATTAGATATATACAAGGGGCTCAATTGCAATTTTAAACATTTTAATAAATCTCAATTCAATACTTGGGTCAAATGCATAATTTATAAAAATATATTAAATGTACAATAATGCTAATTAAAGATGGATAATATTATGTAATAAATGCAAATTATAATTGAGATTTTAAGAGTAGAAATATTTTACCAAATTATTAAATGTTGTGCCGAACAATTTAATTTGATTGACTTTAGTAAATATTGTGCAATCAGACAGCCATTAAAGTACAGTTCGTGTAACGTTATTGCGCAATCGCGGTTCATAATAATAATAATAATAATAATAATAATAATAATAATAATAATAATATAATAATAATAATAATAATAATAATAATAATAATAATAATAATTGTATATATTTATGTTTGGTTATTTCATTTTTTTTTTCCTTAAGAAAATGCTTATATCGAACCAAAACAATCGATAAAGAAAGTTTACTTGAAAATTGATAGTTAGATATCGTGCAATATGATAGGTATTAATTTGCAATCCGTCTCATTAATATGCAATATGTCTAACACTGATGTACAATTCGTATAACATCATTATTTAGACTATTTCGATCGATTAATCGAATTATCTAAGTAATATGATTATTTATTATTTATATTATAAAATATATTCAATATTTTAATATTTATGTTCAATATTATCTTTTTGGTGTAAAAGACAATATATAAAATTTTGAAATCAGTTTTGTGCATTTTCAAACCCAGTATTGTGCATTTCACCTAACTTTATCGTGCAGGGCAGTTGATTGGGTACTTGTTCATGTGCATTTCAATTTTAGAAACATTAATAACGTGTATTTTAATTAATATTATTTTGCAATTATCAAATTATTATATAATAAAAATATATTTATTATTTATAATTCTTTATTTAATATTTTAATGTGAAAATGCTTATGTTAATTTGAGTTATCGAATGCATTAATGTGCATTTGGACTAACACTACGGTGCATTTTGATAATCATTAATGTGCATCATATTTAATAATATTGTGTATATTTTTATTTATGTGCAAATCTCAATTATTTTTTGGTTAAAAGAATAGAATTAATTATATATGTATAAAAAATGTGAAAATATTTTTATATAGATTTTATAATTTATAGGTTTGGCCCAAAGGTTAAATTGAAAATAATCAAAATTAACAAAATTGCAAATAAGTCCTTTATAAATTATCAAATTTTCAAAATCAAGGCCTAACAATCAAATCTAATTTTCACTCGTCGACCTCCGAGCATCACACCGGCCGGCAGCCACCAACCCAAATATAGCACCACCACCACGCAAGCCTATTTCTTATCAGTTCGATTTTTTAATTTACGTTTGTCCAGTGAGATTCCCGTCGATCCCATCCCCAATTTTCACGGCCAATAACTTGCGCGGCGATGGCGGCGCCGTCGAGTCCCACAGAGGTGACCGGATATGCGGCGAAGACTGGCGAATGAGGTTAAATTAAGGCGGCAACGTTCGGACTGCTACGATCGGCGACGACGATGGAGTTCCCGGCCTGTGGCAATCAACGGTTGCGAGCGACTTCGGCGGCAAACGATGATTAGCGAGCATCGACGACGACCTGTGCGTGATTTTGCATGTGTGTGTGTGGGATTATTGCGTGTGCGCTGCCGTGTGTGTGAGTCGCCGTCTGTGTGTGTCTCCGAGTTGTGTGTGTTCTGTGTGTCGTGTTTATTGTGTATTTCTGTGTGTGAGAGAGAGGAGAGCGTGACCTAGGGTAGGTGGGAGTGGGTAGGGGCAGTGGTGAGTTGGAACTTGGATGGGTAGTGGGTTGTGGGACACACGTGCTGTTGTGTATATATAAAATGTCTTAAATAACTTTAATGAATGTATAATTTTGGAATTTTATTTAGTCATTAGATCATTCGATCTAATGGCTACGATTCACTCTTAGTTATTTCACTAAGCACTATTGTTACCGGATCGTAACCCTATATAAATATATATATTATGTTTATAATGAGCATTTAATAGTTAATGAGAAGACTAGTAAAAAAAAATAGTTGATGAAAAGACCAATATCAATTTAAACAAAGTAAAAGTCCACGTCTTACTCTCCATCCAATCTCCATTTAAACAATTTTTCACGGCTTATTATAAATAATTTGTATTAATTATGCTTACCAGCAAAATTTCAGCCTAGGCAATTGTCTAGGCTGTACTATATGGCGGTGCTTAGAATTAATTAAGATTAACTACCTTATTTTTTTTTTTATTTCCACTATCTGCAAAATATAATAAATTCTCACACCTAAGTGCAAATAATATTATTAATGTACTATAGAAAAAAATATGATAACAAAATAACGTAATTAATATTTAAAAAATTAAAAAATTACCGCCTGACCTGTCTTGGAACGCCTAAGCCCGCCTAATCACTGTCTAGCTGTCTGACCGATTTTTTCAGCGATTCATGTAAATTAGTGGCGTCCGGGCGATGCCTAAGCAGCTGCCAGTGCCTTTTTATTTTTCTTGCGGAAAGAAAATTTTAGAGAAAAAAGAGAGTTATTGCATACCTAGGATCTATCATCCTTCAATCCTATTAAAAGATTTTTATATTTTTTTTCAAGTCCTCCAAAACCATATTGTACGTTCAATTTTTCAAATAACGCCTAGATCTAGTGAAATTTCAACAAATCGTCCTTGTTGAACCACATCGACACTATACTTATGTGATTCCTCAAGTGAGTGTCGTTGGGAACACATCTGACACTAAATACTTATATTTAGTTCCTAAAAAAAATTAATTCATATATTTATTTCTTGAATCTAGCCATAAACATATTCTACCGAATTTGGCTACATCATATGTAAGTCGCCAGAAGTTGAAAGTGTATGAGTGTATCGTATCGATTTGCCAGAAAACAAAAAACCTTAAATTTATGTATTTAATTATCAAACTAAAATGGTGTGGAATAAATTGCATAAAAGGACTAGTTACGAAATTTCAGAGTATGAAAATAAGTCATGAATCATTATTTTGTTCCATATAATTACAATATTTTTTTAAATATTTTTACGAGTGTCCCATTGTTAGATTTGTACTTTCAGGATCTCATTTATTCCAAGCCCAATGACTATCTATAAAGGGTCATTTGCATATGTACCGTGATTAAATATAAAAAATTACAAGTTTACATAACTTTAAAATTATTTGCACATGTACAAAATTAAAGCAAAATAATTAGGTAGTTGCTAGATACTAAAACACTGCATTGATATAAGTTTCCTAACTAAATCCCATAACTGAAGGGTTTCACCATAATAGTGAAATACCATAATTGAATGGATTTACATTAATAACAAAATATCATCCCTAAAAATGTTCTCTCTCTCTCTCATCTCTTCTCCCTCTCTCTCTCTCTCATTCCCGTAACTTAATCTTAATCTGGTATATATATTAGGAAAAAAAAAGCAAGACACTTATTATATTCTCAACATAACCATATATATATAAATATACATATACGTGATTGTGTCTACGAAAATATATACTGAAAATATAATACTTATATACACAACATATACAATATAAACATCACATATATAGTCTTGAAAACAATTATAGAGTTACAGCCCCATATATTGTAAGTATATCATTCGTGCACATATACATAACATAATCGTGTTATACACAGTCCTTATGATTATAACAGTATATATAACAAAAAATATACAGTATATATATCATACCGATCCTTATGATTTTCAATTCAAATCTTTCATACGAAAAATCCAAACTATACACACTCTAATAATGCGCATACGAAAAATATAAACAATATATATACGAAAAATATACAGTCTATGTAACTGTAACCACACAAATACAAAAAAAATTATAAATATATTGCATATATATATCATATATACAGTCTGGTCTGTTGACCTTAACATCAAACGCACGGCCGAACTACAAAAAATAAAAACGAACCAAAAAATATTAATGTCTAAGCTTATTTGTTGTAGTGCTTCAAGCCGTAACCGTGTTTGTCTTCGTTGGACCACAAGTCGTTGTACACGTCGCCGTCCAGGCGGGACGATCAACTCGAAAAAGCCGACTACCGTCCTCGGCTGAAATTCCTATGGCCGACCCTTCAATGACCGCGCTGCTCCGACCGAGCGGTAACAGTTTGGTCGACCATCCACCTTTTGAATCGATGTACCAGACAACCACCTAGACCGCTGCTCACCGTGCAAACATTGGATATTCAGTTCTAGAGATCTACGTTGCCTCGTCGAAGCGCGTCCACCGGCCTCATCAACCCACGCCGCTTTCAACCTGGATAAGTACTGGTTTTGAGATTTGGGGTGGGG